GACGCAGAGCCCCTGCGGACCCCATCCCAGACCCACCGCGTGGCTGCACCGACCAGGACCCCCGCCCAGACGTACCCAGCACCTGCGGTGACCAGGACACAGCCTCAGCCATGCCCGGCACCGAACAAGGCCTACGCCCAGGTTCGGCCAACACCCTCGCCGGCTCGCCCCACACCCCCAGTGTCCAGGACTCCACCCCAGCCCGGCTCAGTCACCATGGCGACGAAGACCTCCCCCCAGATGCACCTGGTCACCACCCCGGTCGGAAGCCCGCTGCGAACCACTCAGCCGGCCACCGTGTGCAAGACACCACCCCAGCCTGGCCCCTCGAGCCCCAAGACCAAGCCCCCGCCGCGGATGCGCCTGGCAGCCATCATAACCAGGACCCCAGCAGCCCACATCCGCTCCGTTGCCGCCGTCCTCAAGACGCTTTGCCTGACGCTTCAGGCCCCGGGAAACCCCAGGGCTCCACCTGGAGCGGCACAGCAGGCTGCTGGGACCCCCGGCACCTCACCCAGCCTGCATGCGGACACACCGAGGACCAGGGGCCCCGCAAACACACCGCAGGCAACAGCGGGAACGGCGAAAGTCTCAGACCTCCGCTGTCGGGCCGAAGGGAGCGTCCGCGTCGCCCCCCAGCCACATCTGGAAAGTGGGGCTCGCGGGGCTCCAACCAGGGGACCTGTGCGAACCGAGAAAACCCACACTGGTGTCCAGAAGCTGGTGAACGAGGAGACGGGGTCTAAGGCGGCAGCGCAAGCGACCAGGGCGCCATCGTGGGCCAGACTGGCTGAGGAGAGGAGCCAGCCGCTGTCCCAGATGCACCAGAGGACAGAAGTCCTCAAGGTCCAGTCCCAGGTGTACGTGCCCATCCAGGCAGAGGTGGCCCTGCCGCGGGCTCAGGTGGCCGTCCCACTGACCAAGGCCCGGGCCCTGGGGCAGCCACCCAAGGTGTCATCCCAGGCACATCCGCATAAGGCACAGCTGGCCGTATGGCCACCAGCCACGTCCCATGGCCCTCCGCCCACCGAGCAGACCAAGGCCCTGTCCCAGCCACACCTGGCCACCTGTCCGGCCAAAGCCTCGTCCCGGGCACCTCCGTCCGGCGGGCTGAGCAAGGCGCCCTCCCTCATGCACCTCGTCACCTGTCTGACCAGGGCGCAGCCCCAGGCCCAGCTGGTGACAGATGCGACCAGGCGCGTCTGTGCAGC